GTAGCGTAGTGGTTACGAATCGGGCTGCGAACCTTAAGTTCAGCAGTTCGAAACTACCAGCCGCTTCGCGAGAGAAACATGAGGCTTTCTGCTCCCGTAAAGATTTACAGCCTCGGAAACCCTGTACAGGGTTGCTATGGGTCGGAACCGACTCTAAGGCACTTAACAATTCCAATCTACTAGACCGCTGGGTTTCAAATTTGTTGCAGTGGCCACATTGTCCTCGGACTCTATTCATACTTGTGGGGTGTATTAGGGAATGACCAGTTGACAGTTCAGAGTCAGGAAGATTTAGGATTTAGTTCGTAGAGCAGGACACTCTTAGCTGTGTACACAGGCCTCCACCTGCCCTCTCCTCCACTCCAGCAAGTGATACAGCACTTCTACCCCAGCCGAGGATACTCCCCTCTCAGTTAACCGCAGCCTGAATGCACTCAGCAGTTTCAACCAGGAAGGTCACCACACTTTCTCACTTCTCTGCTGTCTGTAGTGTTAGAGCGTTATGTCTGTTGTGAGGAGGTCCTCAGTTCCGTGAACCCAGATCCAAAGAAAACAGTCGCTTTCTTAGTAATTAGCGTCCTTCACCCCAGAGACGGCTCATTTTAACCTTGCAAGAATGGCAAAACTCACCATTCGCCTTGGAGTCCTGGTGTGGTGCTGTAGGACAAAGCACTGGACCGCAAAGGTCGGATTCACCTACAAGGTCAGCTGTTCAAACTCACCAGCTGCTCCTTGGAAACCTTATACAGGGTCAGTGAGTCAGAACCAACTCAACAGCACTTAACAACATACACCTTACTGACATATCCCTACCCCTACAAGTGTGCGATACATGCTATTTATACTACTATTAAGGATTACAGGCCTTGGTGGGCAGCAAGCATCTTTGCATTGTCCCACCAAGTCATTTTCTGGCAGTTACAAAGACTATGGTGGAGTCACATTAATTACTACGCTTAGGGGTGTAGTTACTGGGTCATGGCCATGAATTGAATCCCCAAATCATATGCTGAAATCCTGACCTCTTTTCATAATGTTACCTAGAGGAATGGATCTTTTCAACCAGTTGAAGTCCAAGCCCCTGAAGCTAGCCTCTTCTGTGTTACATAAAGAGCCACACAGACACAGATGTCCTGAGACACGGGAAAACGGGCTGATGAAGACGAGGGTAGAGGAGCTGACACAGCCAGCAACCCTATGGATTGCCTACTACTACTAGACCCTGAAATCACCACAGAAGGACCGCCTCCTAGAGCCACGCTGAATTTCCACTCCTGTGAGAAAATACATTTCTGTTTGTTAAAGATGCCCAGGTTTTGTATTTGTGTCACTGCAGTGCTGGGAAATTGACAACAGGAACTAATAAGATGATTTTGCATGGCAGCTGCACGAGTTTTCATTCCTACTGGTAAGGGGTAAAGTTTCTCTACATCCCTTCCCACCTTTAGTGTTTTTACCACTATAGCGGATGTGAAGCTCTGGTAGCGTAGTGGTTATGAATTGGGCTGCGAACCTTAAGGTCAGCGGTTCGAAACTACCAGCTGCTCCGTGGGAGAAAGATGAGGCTTTCTACTCCCGTAAAGATTTACACCCTCGGAAACCCTGTACAGGGTTGCTATGGGTCGGAACCGACTTGAAGGCACTTAACATCATAGCGGATGTGAAGTAATTTCGTGGTCTGGATTTTCCCTAATGAAATATAATGTTGAGCTTCTTTTCAATTGTTTGTCGATTACATATGGGGCTTCAATATTTTTTGTTGGAAAACGGAGCTTTTCATAAACCTTTTTGAGCACTCTTAGATATCTTTACAATAAGATCCTAGTTCTTAAAGTCATTAATTGCCATTTTTGTTGCTGAGTTATATATGCCGACTTCTAGGGAATATTATGATTCATAAATATTTTGTCCTAATCTATGAGCTGTCTATATCTTATTCTTTTTACTTTCATGTACAGTGAATTTTAATTTTGTGAAAGTTATATTTATTTTTTCTTTTGTTACTTGTACTTTTAATGTCTGATCTAAGAATTCACTGTCAAATCAAAGTCATGAAGAATTTACCTAAGGGTTCTATTTTACTTCTTACAATGAGGTTTTGGATCCAAGTAGACTTCATTATTTCTTTACTAGGTGAGGTAAGGTCCCAAAGTCCACTGTTTCACATTTGAGATTCAGGTGTCCTGCCACCATTTGTTGAAGAAAGTCTTATTTCCACACTGAGTGATGCTATGTTATGTACTCCAAAGAGAGACGTTGAAATCCTCTCAGTGCTCGTGAATGCAACCCCCATCAAAATTCCAACAGACTCCACAGAAATGGATAAGGCAGCCCTCAAATTTATATAACATTGCAAGGGGCCCTGATGGCTTTTAAAAGAACAACACAGTAAGACTCACTCTTCCGGATTTCAAAACATAAACCTCCATAATGCAAACATTTTAGTACTGAATAATGATAGTCACGTATAGCAATACAAGTGAGAGCCCAGAAATAAACTCATACATCTCTGGTTTACTGATTTTCAACAAGGGTGCTAGGTCCATTTAATGGGGAAATGATAGTCTGTTTAGTAAATGGTGCAGAGACAACTGGATTTCCAGGATTAAAACAATGAAATTAGATCTGTACCTCACAACACACATGAAAACTAACTCAAAATGCATAGCACACTGAATGGAAAACTAAAAATGTAAGATTCTTAGAACATAGGATAACTGAGTTTCTCAGCAATGGATTCTTAGGCATGACAACAAAAACATGAGCAACAAAAGAAAACAGATAAATTGCACAAGCTCATGGCCCAGATGGAATCCTGGTGTAGCACCGTGTAGGACATGCATTGGACTATAAACTGCAAGGTCAGTGGTTCAAACCCACCAGCTGCTCCTCTGAAGCCCTGTACAGGATCACTCTGAGTCAAAAGGCACTTCAAAGGCACTTAACAACAAAGTCCAAATAGAGGCTTGATGTGGCACTATAGGTATGCAGTTTAAGCCCACTCGCTGCTCTTGGAAACCAGATACAGGGTTGCTAGACATCAGAACCAACCCCATGGCACACAAGAAGAACAATGGTCCAAATAACACTTCTTGGAGAACACAGGCTAGGAGGCAGCCAGTAGCCAATTAGGTTAATTTAATGACTATCATCTAATGACCATTTACCCCAGCGACCTCGTTCCCGGTTTCTTCTTCTAGTTTCTATTTTTTTCCTTTTCATTCTTTAACAAACAAGTACTGAGCCCATCTAAGACCTGCTATTCGTGTTGTGAATGTTTAAAGCAGCGTACTTTCTGTCTTGACTTTGAAGTGTCCGTTTTTATAGCGACATGATTAAATGCCATTCTTCCTAAGGCATAGCTCCTGAGTGATGGATGTCTGCTAACTGTCAAGGTTGCCATTCAAGTTCTTACTATACTACTTACAGTGGGGTTCCTGTTACGTCATCGCTTGACCTCTGGAATTTGTAGAACTAGGTCTGAAACAGGAGACTATAATGACACAAATATTTTCCCTACTAAGAATCCTTATGATTACAAAATTCAGAGTAAAAGTGAATTTTTACAAGTCATTTTATAAAATTTATTTAGCCTCAGGATTCCCTTATTGGCTGTCTTTTATCATTTTATAAAATTCACCATGCCAAGAGTCTTGGAAGCCTTATCATATAGGATCTAAAGTAAGAGGTTTTTTCAATATGTTATTATTTTTCATGTTTTACTCCTCTGGGGTTCGAAGAAGATTTTGAAGATTTTATCATGCAGATCACGTGTGCATGGCTCATCTTCAGCGTGGATACTGAAGAACACTTGAGATAACACTATTAACACACTGTGCGCTTGTTTGCTTTCTCTCGTGTGGACTCTCTGATGACTACCTAGATTTTAGCTTCACCTGAAATCCTTCCCACAATCCTCACATCTTTATGGCTTTCCGGTAGAATGGACTCTCTGGTGACAATGAAGTTGTGATTTCTGACAAAATGTCTTTCCACAGTCTTCACATTTGAACGGTTTTTCTCCACTGTGGATCCTCTGATGGGTCAAAAGATGTGATGCCTGACTGAAGCCCTTCCCACACTCCTCACAATTATAGGGTTTCTCGCCTGTGTGGATTCTACAGTGAATTTTCAGATCTGCTCTGCGACTGAAGCCTTTCCCACAGTCTTCACATTTGAAAGGCTTTTGCCCACTGTGGACTCTCTGATGGGTCAGAAGTTGGGAAGCATCCCTGAAGCCCTTCCCACACTTCTCACAGCTATAGGGCTTCTCCCCTGTGTGGATCCTACTATGAATTTGGAGATTTGATTTACGACTAAAGCCCTTTCCACACTCTTCACATTTGTACGGTTTCTCACCGGTATGAATCACCTGGTGAACCTGAAGTCTTGAAGTCCGATTGAAGCCTTGCCCACACTCAGCGCATTTATAAGGTTTCTCTACATTGTGGGCTTTTTGATGGATTTTGAGATATGAACGCCGACGGAAACTTTTACCACACATATCACATTTATAGGGTTTTTCTCCAGAATGGACTCCAAGGTGAACCTTATATTGAATTTTCATCCTGAAACACTTCCCACACTCCTCACATTTGTACGGTTTCTCCCCAGTGTGGACTCCCTGATGGGAATGCAAATTGGACCTGTAGATGAAGCCTTTTCCACACACGTTGCAGACATATGGCCTCTCTCCAGTGTGGACTCTCTGATGGGTCTGAAATTGCAAAGGATAGATAAAGCTCTTGTCACATTCCTTACACTTGTAGGGTTTTTCTTCTGTATGAACCCTTCGATGGATATAAAGATAGGAGGTCCGAGCAAAACTTTTCCCACATTTTTCACATTTGTGTGGCTTTTCTCCATTATGCACTGTTTGATGAGCATCAAGATGTGAACTTCGACTGAATTTCTTCCCACACTCTTCACATCTGAATGGTTTTTCGCCACTGTGGATTCTCTGATGTGTCAGACGATGAGACGCTTGACTGAAGCCCTTCCCACACTCCTCACAATTATAGGGCTTCTCTCCTGTGTGGATTCTACAGTGAATCTTAAGATCTGACCTGCGATTGAAGCCTTTCCCACACTCTTCACATTTATAGGGTTTCTCACCAGTATGGATCAGCTGGTGCATTTGAAGGCGTGATCTCTGGTTGAAACTTTGCCCACACTCCTCACACTTATAAGGTTTCTCCACACTATGGGCCCTGTGATGGATTTTAAGATATGAACTCTGACTAAAGCCTTTCCCACATATCTCACATTTATAAGGTTTTTCTCCTGTATGGACCACCAAGTGAACTTGATAATGAATTTTCATCCTGAAACTCTTCCCACACTCTTCACATTTGTACGGTCTCTTTCCAGTGTGGACTCCCTGATGGGAATGCAAATTGGACCTGTAAATGAAGGCTTTTCCACACACGTTGCATGTGTATGGTCTCTTCCTAGTATGGACTCTCTGATGGGTCTGAAATTGCAAAAGATGAATGAAGCTCCTACCACATTGTTCACAATGGTAAGGTTTTTCTCCTGTGTGAGTCGTCTGGTGCGTGTAAAGATAGGAAGCACAAGCGAAGCCTTTCCCACACTCCTCACATTTGTAAGGCTTCTTCTCTTCTGCAGGAACCAAGCAGTGAGCAGCAACGGCTACGCTAGCACAGAAGTTCTTATAGGCATCGTATTTGAATGTTGTCTCCCTTGTGTGGTTCCTCTGATGTTCCTGAAAATATGGAAAATACATAAAAGCTTTCCCACATTCCTCACAACTGTAAGTTTTTGCTCCTGTGTGGCCTTCACAACAAACCTGAAGCATTGTTCTATGTGTGAAGCACTTCCCGTATCCCTCGCATTTGTGTTGTTTCTCTTCAGTGTAGCCCTTCAGACAACTTTGCAACTGTGAACTCTGACTGAATTCCTTACCACACTCAGCATCGTTCTTTCCCATGTGAATTGTCTGATGATTACAAAGAACTGAACTACAGTGGGAGCCTTTTCCATACTCACTACATACGAAAGACTTCCCTCCTAAGCATGAATCCTGATGAAGACCAAAATTGGAGATAACACTGGAGGAGTTCGTACATCCATAGTACTCATGAGTCATCTCTTCTGTGTTAGTAACAGAGAGTTCTTTTGCAACCAGAGAGGGCGAGTCACCCTTTTGGTAGAACTGAGACCTATTTATCTTAGATCCTGGACCCCTGGTGAAGTCATTTGTTATTTGTTGCCAGATGTAGGTGCTGGAAAGCTCTTCCTGGGCTGCTGCTTGTGGGACAGTCTCCATGGGTCTTGGGTTCTCGTCTCCTGTGAGAACAGAAAATTCAGATAGAGACAGGCAAAGGATTTGTTGAATGTTCCCGGGATCTCACACTTAAAATGGGGATGATGTATTACTGAACCCAGGGACGCTTCAGTTAATCTTTTCTGGTGAATATCATGTTCTTTATTTACATGCATCAAATCAAATGTAGTTTCACTGGAATCCATCCCATTAAGTAGTAACACGACCCATCATTGTTTAGTGCGGTCGAGTCACTTCTGACTCATAGAGATCCTAGATAAGTCTCCAAGGAGCGGCTGGCGGATTTTAACAGTCAACCTTGTGGTAAGCAGTCCAGTGCTTACCCTATAGCACCACACCAGTATTCCAACAAGACCCATTAGACAATCTGCCCTGTAAAGCTTCACTCAAATAAAACAAAAAAAATTTTTTAGAGACTCATTAGCACCAAATCCATATGTGAAATACAATTTATTACCCCCACCCCTTGTGGGGACAATCAATTAAAGAAGCTGCCTGGCTGGGTTTAGCAGATGTTTAATCAGTTCATATAAAATTGTTTTGGATTGTTTGATTAGAAAATTACAGAAATATCTAAGGAATTGAGAGGCTCTAGAGTGATGGTAATGGTTTTCAGATTTGGAAGAAATTCCTTACTGACTTAAATGTAGCATATAAGCAAAGAATTCTCCTTTAGGTCATGCTGAGGAGATTCTCAGAAGGAAAAAATTTTGAACTGAGGCATACACTATTTTGCTTTCTGTCAGTAACTCACAACTTCATATTCTTAACCAAAAAACTAAAAAGGTGAACTCATACTGGTGTGTGATGCTGTATGATACACATTGGACGGGAAGGTCAGTTTGAACCACAAAGTTGGTGGTTCAAATCCACCAGTGGCTCCTTGGAAACCCTATACAGGGTCATTATGAGTTGGAACCGACTCCACAGCACTAAACAGCAACAATTTAGTGACTTCTGAGGTGACGTTGTAGAATAAGAACTGGTCTGATAACTGCAAGATTGGTGGTTCAAACTCACCAGTCGCTCCTTGGAGACCCTATACAAGGTCGTTATGAGTCAGAACCAACTGGATGGCACTTAAAAACAACAACCACACTATTTAACAACAGAACTGGAGAGAAAGAAAAGAACAGGGCCCAGAATGTAATAGGAGCGACGTTCAGCTTGGAAATTACAGACTGATTCTTTGCTTTGAAGTCACTGCTCAAAGTCCATCAATGAACTAAATACAAAATAATAAAACTTTTCTAAAGCCAAGTCTTCACTCTCATATTTTGGACGTTATCAGGATGGACCAATCCCTGGAGAAGGACATCCTGGGTGGTAAAATGCAGGGTCACTGCCAAAGTGGAGTACCCCCGATGACATGGAAGGACATGGTAGCAGC